TATATATATATATATAGATATATATTTACTTCAAAGCTTGTAATGTTGTGATTCACCTCTTAGCTGGATAGTTTGGTTCATGGATTATAATTCTGAAACGAGGACTTTAAAACAAGCAAACAAACAAAAACATATGGGGAAAATACTTCCAGAACCAAGGCTGCTGAAAAACTGGGATGGCACTAATGCACTCTATTCTAGACACATAGGAAGTGTTGGAAAAACCTGTTTGAAAGCAGCCATTTTTTTTCAGTCAAATTTGTTTTTTTGTAAAAAATCTAGGTGTGCCAACTGAGTTTTACTCACATATTAAAGAGAGTTTTACATGACCTTACACATGGTTGTTATGCACAATCAGAGTAAGATTGCACATGCAAATGCACTCATGGTTATCTACAGTTTGTGTGTACTGTGTAGTTTTTTTTTTTACCTATTCGTTGATTGTGCATCTGTCTCTCATACTTTGCCTCCTCTGATGTTCCCCTCGCATTTCCCTGCTTCCGCCACTCTTTTAAAGTGGATAAAAGGTCTCAGTCGATTAATTTGAAAGACTGGAGACTGGTTAGGCCTGGTGACACGTGAGCCGCCTAATGGAGTTGCCACATTCTTGTAGTGTTGGCCAGATTCATTCTCGTATATATCCCTTTATTCTTCCATCTTTAATTCTCCAGCTTCTCCAGTTACCCCAGATAAGCCCTCACGTATGACAGGTATACCCTTTTGAAGCACACGAGATAAATACCAATATTTCTTAAATGAACACAAAGAGCATCATGTGTGTCATACGGGACGACATGCCAAGGAAAGGTTAATAAAATCATTAGATGATGGACTGCAGAGGGCCTGCAGCAAGACGAATACAGTTGCCGGCCCTTGTAGAGTGAGACTGGCAGGTGCCTGCTGTTATCTTTGTGTAGCTGAACTATAAGACTGAATGTGTAATGTAACGTGAAATGAGGGCATGGGGACTGTAACGATTGAGAGCAAATGATGCTACTGTGTATGAGGACTAGTGGAAAATTCATGAATACCAGTCAAAGTTACGCCCTCTTAAACTATTATTATAAAATAAGTCATCAGACTTGAGGATTAGGATTGTCTTATTATTAATCAAATGAAATAACTGCATATATTTGTGAACTATACAGATTTTATCTAATGTGGGATTTCTTTTTTTGCATAGAGCGGGACGTATGAGATTGATTTTTATGAAAACTGACAGGATGAGTTGGATCATTGTTTTTAACTCTTTCTTCTTAGTGCAAGATCTACATTTTGTATCCTACAAATTTCTCTGATCCTTTCATTGCTTACTGCTTTTCCTGTTTGAGATTCGCATCAGGAACATGCAGTTGTGCTCCAGTAATGTTTGTTTTTCCATTACTGCCCAAACACAGCCAAATCTGCGACAGCTGCCACTTTCCTGAGGGAAGTGCAAGCAATCTTCCCAGAGCGTGTCGCCGTGATATATCTCCCACTCTGTCCTTTGACTGAGTATTCTTTACAGCCTTGCCTTTCAGGGAGGCGACCAGCACCTCCACATCCTGCCAAGTGCTGCTGTTAAATCATGTCATCTCCCAGAAGCATAGGAAGAACAGCCACGTTACCCACCAACGCACAACACCATGGATGGGGGAAACAAACTCAAAACAATAGCAAGCCATATTTTACTCTTCTTATTTCCATGAGTTGGAGTAGCCTGTGGCGTGAAAGGGGACCGTTTGAGGGTATTGATTGTTGGTTTGCTGCTAGCTCTACTCTGGCATGTGGGTATTGTAAATGCAGCATTTTTCGCAGACAGGGGCATTTGTTTCCCCTTGCTGTAGGGCAGCAAGATCCTGAGCTCTATTGCTCTCTCAGTCAAACTGTCCACCTGTTTGTAACACTTGTTGTCATTGGGGAGCGACTGCTGTTACAGAGTATATTAAAGCAGCAGAGAAATTGATCAGGAGGTTCCTGTAGCCATAACATGGCTTGCCACTTTTATTGGATGGAGATGATGAAGAAGAGAGGGGAAAGTATTGAGGATTGAGACAGGGATGGGATAGGGTCAGGTTGGATTCAAACCTGTGTGAAAATTCTGACTTAACATTAGCAGTAACCTCAAGGTCATGGCTCTGACACTTCTGTGCTAAATGATGCTCTCAAATAAGACTTCAGGCCATCAAAGAGGGGCACCCTATGTCCATGTAATGCAGCTTAGAAATTCACGAAGAAATCTAAATAACTGCCAAAACAAATCTTTGAAAACCTGAAAGGGCACTCTGTGGCAAGGGTGCCAGATCATGCTTCTGGAAGCCTCCTGTAACATGGTTTGTAGATACAAGGAGGAGGAGGTGGGAACCGACACAATGTAAAATGTAATTTCCAAATAAAAAATAAACAAAGAAAACACAAAGTGCACAAAACAAAAATATCCCAGGCCACTGGTCCACTGTTGTCACTCCTCTTTACTTCCTTCTGGAGCTCCTCCATGGAACTCAAAGTTTAGAGCTGGGAACTTTTTCGCAAGACGTGAAAAACTTACCAATAACTACATATCACTGCAGTTTCCAACAGAAATGAACACTCGATGCGGTAAAACAGTGAGCACTTGTAATAGTTTTCGTACATAGTTATGATTACAACTCCATATGTTTTACTTTCCGGATGTAACAAACTTGCTCGGTAGCTCAGCCGGGACAGACTTGGACTTAGGATGCGGAATCCTTGGGTACGAATTCCGTGAAAAACATGACTCACAATGAAAGCGCTCAAAGATGACAGATCGAAAAACAAGCTAAAACGGAAATCATATTGCAGAATATAAGAACTGCTTGAGATGTGTTCTTTGAGGCCATAGATAATTATATTTCATGGAATTGCTCATGATGTTCCTCAAAGGTTCAGCTGGGGGTCAGAAGACCTTATTCATCTTTCTTTCCTCCAATTGGTTGCCATGAAAAGATGCTGAATCTTTTTCTCCATCTAATGACATCTTCAAACTGAAGTAGATTCCTCTCTAAAATGTAATACCTTGTTCTAATCAGTGACCCTATTTCGGCAAGATGTGGACATGTGAATATATCTATTTAAATGCTAATGCATTCATATGGATATATGTTTGTAGACGTCGCAATAGGTAATGCTAAGCAGCGCTACAGGGCCCTGCTTTAGCCAGTCTGAAACACTCCAGAGACTCGACAGTCCCTTCGCTGAACTACTTATTAAGAGTTTCTCTTTGATGGTCCTCAACCCTGGAGGTTTGACCATCTCTTCTGAACAGATCAGAAGTGTTAAGCAGCTTTTTCCTCAGCCCAGAGAGAGAGAGAGAGAGAGGTTTAGACTTATGGTTCATAATGCAGGAAACATTTCTAAACCAATTCTGTGTTTGTGTACAGAATTTAGTGTTCGTAGAGGGTTGAATTTAATACTACACAGTCGTCACACAGAACTATAATGGCCCGAGCAGTCAGAGGCTTAAACAACAGGAGAGTTAGTTCAGGGCCGAGGGCTCAGAGCCTGTAATGCCAGAAGAATCAGAGCGCGTGTGCTTCACTTAAGCTCCCAAGATGGTGAATTATAGGCTCTTCCTTCATCCTGTGAAGATGTGGCTTTTTGTTTATGGTTCCCCTGTAAGTATTGATGTAAACCCTCTATCTGCTCTCAAGCATTATATAGAGATGGGAAATGAAGGAGAGATTGGATGGAGAAATAATGCTTGTTTAGGTTTTGCTTGAATAAACCAGAGTCAGATGGGCTTGCAGGTTGCAATGGATGCTTACAAGCAGTGCGGACAGACATGCTATCAGTTAAAAGTTATTTGCTGCTGTAGGGTAGTATGAAGGCAGCAGATTGCCTGTTCGCTCTGTTGCCTTCGGGGATCCAACAAGCACAAACATATGCTTTTTGTTTTCTTTTGACATATGAATGCAGCATGTACACACAGATGTTCAGTTTCTCTTTATCTCTGTACACACGCCTTTAGAATTAATCAGAAATCTCTCCACTGATCAAGTGAGCAAAGGAAGAAGTATCAGTTAAAGAAAAAATTTGTATTACCATACCTTTTTTCGGGAAAAGTGATTGTAATTACTGGAATAGTAACTGATAAAAATGAACAAAAGGTCCAAAGTAAAGATATAGTTGTTATATATCATTTATATTTAAATGCAATATATTAAATATCACCTTGGTTTGTTTTTGTTGTTTGGTTTGTTATTTTTAAATCAAAATAAAAAAATGTGAGACCTGCTTCTGAAGAAATGATACTCAAATTCTGTTTCAACCAGTATACAGAGGTTGCGTGATGTCTCTTCTCCAAGAGGTTGTTATCCGCTACTGAAAGTTTGGTATTGTGAAATTCACATCAAAGTGAGTTTTTTTTCTTCTCTCTGTAGGTAACATCAACGAGTGCACACTGAATTACTACTTCTTCCTCCTGGCTGCCATTCAGGGAGTCACACTCCTCGTCTTCCTCATTGTGTCTGTGAAGTATGACAAGCAGAAGCCCAGAGCAGGGAGCAACAGGGTGTCTCTGACCAACTCATGACCCCCCATCATCCTCACCAGCCGTACGTTCACCTCAGCCACCAAATCATGTGCCAAACTTTAAACCTCATAGTGTTTCAAAAATTACGTTTTCAAATATTTGACTTTTGACATATTTAACTTGAAGCCCCTTGTGCTTACTGGAACTGGCCGTTCTCTTGCCGTTTTAAACACGCGAGACAAAAAGACAAAAGAAAAGAAAACAAAAAAAATTCCCCGATAATTACCTACAAAATATTCCTATGAAATGGTTGGAAATGAGGTTTGTCCACTCCATCAGTGAACTGGATTATGAAATGCGTGTTTGTTGTAGTGTATACTTTGGGCAACACTTGTTCAAAATTTGGGATTTTTGTTGTTTTGACTATGTCAATGAGATTTACAAATTCACATACTCATAAAATGAATGTGGTTTTTAAATTGTTTACGATGGGTTGTACAATTGATCATTGGTTTAAATTGAATATTTATTGAACCTTTTATTTTCATAGTTTATGCTCGACAGGGTAAGACAATACTTTTGTTCAGATTTATTTAAAATTGTCCCTCTGGGCATGTTTTATGGTACACCTTTTTTAAACACAATTTTAACAATACTTTTTAAACATTATTTCTCCTCTAATTCAGGCACCATTTTGCACTGTATTGTGTATATATGGGCACTTTACTGTAAATTTGTAATAGATACCAATTGGTTCTATTTTTTATGCTGTTGATGCTAATTGGCTGTCTAAAAGGGCAAATATGGTTGGCTACTCATTTCAGATGGTAGCCAATAAATTGCATACAGAATTCATGCAGAATTTTCACATGATCAAACATCAGTGAAGTAGTTGATAAAAACTGCAGTGCAAAAGATTATTATTATTATTATTATTATTAAGAATCACATTGTCCTTAACAGTTTGATTAAATTTTGAACTTTGGTACTAAACCTGTGGCATTACAAGTGTTTCTCACTTTTAGATATTTAGATATTTTATCAGGCATTAGATTTCTATTAGCTTGTTTTTAATGATTTTGATCTTAATTGGTAAGGCCAAGCAGTCCTTTGCTCTTTATCGTGGTTATGATATGAGTGTATCATCTGAGAAATGAGGAATTTGCACAAGGAGTGCTGATATCATGTAGCACACAGCTCAGCTGACGTCTTTACAGCAGGAATATCTCTGCAAATGCAAATGAATAGTGGAATTGTTTGCAATGATTCATGACCTTTTTAGATTTGTGTAAAGCTTTTTGATGAGCAACAAACCTCAAGCTCAGATTTTCATCTGAATGAGGTTATGTAGTGAGATTACATTTGCACTAATCTCTAGTGAAAAATAACATGTTTATAATTGAGTATACAGAATCATGAATTTTACATGCAGGCTTATGATACATCCTGTAAAAATGTATACCTCAGCTTCATAATGTCATCATGCTGTAGAAGGGTGTCTTGCTTGATGTAATTTTCATGCAAATTTTGTGACGACAACACTTTTTGCTGCTGTTTTTGCTTTGACCACAAGCGTAACAAAATAGTAACAACACTCCTATTATGCTTCTGTGCTGGTTCTTTTTATGTTTTCATACACAGGTAGTTCCTGTGGTTTGTGTTGCACTTTTTCAGCAGTTACACCTTGTGCCTTCAATGCCAGATTTATTCCACACGACTCTTGCAACTGATGCATCATCCTTGCACTTTTACATTAGGAAGTTCAAAACAGAGTGATCAAAATCCTTTTGAATGTAATTTGACAAACAGTATTGACATTAGAGTGGTTTGAATCTGATCAAAATGGTGAAATATTAAAAGACACAGTATAAGGAAAGGGCATCATTCATTTGAACGGGGCATATTCAAATGCTGATTTAAAGGCTTTTAAAAATTTTAAATATTTCTGTCTTTCTCAAAGAGTAAAATTCAACATTTTCTAAAAACTACACTTTGAGTTTGTGCAGTGGAGAAACATACATTGTGATTTTTTTTTTCATGCTTTTGTTTGTGTTTAAAATGAAATGGTGTATTTTGGTGTTGTTCAATAAAATGCATTTGACCTCTAGTGCTTGTGTCTGAAAAAGCAGTCTCAATATGAGTCTCCCATTTATTACAGCTCTCGCATATTCCTAGCTCATATGCAAACCTTGTGATCTCTCACATTCAATTGCATTTGTCTGATTTCATCAGATGAGCATGAAATCAGAACATCGCCGCTCTTCAGCCAAGCATATCTAGACTGACGAGTCGTTTCCTAAGAGTGTGACCGTCAGCGAACCGTTTGAACTCCACAGCTCTTTTTCTTCCTCTCACTCTGAGTCAGATTGTTGACACAGCCTATATATTTCTACCACCTCCACGTTTTTTTTTACAGTGTTATGCTCTATTTAAAAATGCAGAAGAGCTTAAGGTGTAAGCACAGTATATGAATTATGGATGGTTTATGTGAGTCTGTTAACCCGTCTAAGGTCAGTGTTCCCAAATGGCTCTTGTCTTGTAAGAGAGGCTGATATGTCTCATTAAAACAGGTTTGGATTTGTTTAACATGAACCCTAATTTGATATTTGCAAATATCTCTGCATGCTGCATTCAAATTTGCAAATGGCATTTTTTAACTACCTTCTCATTCTAACTGCTAATAGCTTATTTACAGTAATGGCCCTTCAATGGCCCCTGAAGGGCCATACATCCTATGACCCTTCATTGTAAAGAGAAAAATCATGGTAGCCCAAGTACATTGAAGATAATCGGAATAGAACATGTCCCCAGGTCAATAAGAGGAGTTGATAGGGTCAATAGGCTTTTACAGAGAGAGTCTTTTTGGATCTATATACTGAAAGCAACTAAACGTCCAGGCTTAAATGGGGAATTAGACCTTGTACCTTTTTTGTAATAAGAATTCAGATCAGGAAGTATTATATTGTTGATCTTGTGTGTGTTTTTTTTTTTTTTTAAGAAATCTATACTATGCACATACACACATTGATTTGTGGAGTCTGATTTATATATTTAAGTTTATTTATTTATTTTTTCCCTCTGCTTTATACATGATTATATTGTGTTTGATTTAATTTGATATGTAATCGTCGAACTTCCTCTCTACTGTTTGTCCTGTGTAGAGCGACCAGGTGATTGTTATTTGACGAATTAATTGCTGCTCAAAATGAACTCAGATTGTGTTTGGTATTTACACCCTGACGAAGGCAAAATAGCCGCTACACGTAGGTGTGCACTTGTCACCTGTTCTTAAAACTTATAGCCATGATGCAATAAAGGCGTTTTAAAACTTTTTGAATAAGATTCGAGTGCCTTGGAATACTATTATTCTTACGAGCTTATTTACAGTATTCAGCTTTTAGCTCTGAAGAGTAAATTTAATGAACACAAGTTTCTCATTTAATGGTGATGTAATATAAAATGCAAATAAATCAGGTTTCTGTTGTATGAACTATAGGTTATCAATGTCTGTAATTAATCCTAAAGCTTATGGGAAATATGATTACCATATTAATAGAATATTGCAATCCAGTGGTTGGCTGCAAACTAGCTAGCCCATACTGAGTGACAGTGTAATTTCAGCTAAATCTGCAACCCTGTTACTTGTTCTGGTGTATTTATATTAGAGATGTTCTTATTATGGGGAGATGCCAACCATGTAGCCTATGCCTTGATAACCAGTCACATTATAGCCTTGATGTCATTTAATTGCTGTTAGAGTTGTGAGACAGTTACTTTTCCTGTAAAACAAACACTTTTTCCCAGTGTAAAATATGTTAATCCAGAATAAATGTTAGACATGTTGAAGGTGGCAGGACTCTCATTAAAGGCAGAGTAAGTGATTTCTGGTAGCCAATGTTGATATTTGAAATCACCAAAACAAACACGCCCCTACCCCAAAGGGGTCTTGCCCCTATTTTGATAGCTCCGCCCCACACATACGTACGCAACCCAGGCAATGATTAGTTCTGTGAAACAAAGCAAAACCAATGTTACACCGTGTCTACACTGGACGCGAGCGGCGGCGCGCAACAAATCCCCGACAGAAAACTGCTGCCGGGTTCTATTTATGACGTGCTGACACAAATTTGAAATGGTTTTCAACGGTCGTTTGATCCTGTCCAGTGTAGGCAGACTTTAGCTGTTGTAGACACGGTGTTACTCACCTATTGAGAAGAAACAAAGCAACCTCGGCGTCCGATCGCAGGCCTCCGTTCCTTGAGTTCTCTCCAGCGCTGGAAATCTGATCCGATATTTACACAGGTCCTACTTCTTTTCTTATCGTTCCGCAGACGTTTTCCTCTTTTGTTTTTTTATCCGCCATCTCTATCTTTCTGTCGCTCAACTCGGCTAACGTCCGTCCCATGCACTGAAAGCTCTCTCCTCCACATCATGAGTAGACACGCCCCTTATTGCTGATTGGCTACAAGTTTGTTTTACGATTCGGCCCGAATCAGTTTTCTAAAGTGTTTTTGAAAAATCACTTACTCTGCCTTTAAGTGACAAGTTTTCTTCACACATTCAAAAAACAGTATCTTGTCTTCTCTTTTGTTTGTTTTTGGAGGCTCTATTTTGAAGCCTTTTTCTCTGATTTTCAAACTCGTTTTCAATTAAAATTTTGTAATGTTGTGATTCATACTTGTATAGCTTGTTGGTTTGTTCATAGCTTACAATGCTTTAACAAAGACAATTCCTATGGGAAAAAAATAAATGGGGAAAAATACCGGTGAAAAAGTGGACGGCAACTAATGCAGCGTGTAGCCCCGCCTCTTCTCAGTGTTGCGCTCATTGTCCACAGAATGAAGGTAAGGTCGTACGAATTTATGAATGAACTGCTCGTTTTAAAATCTTCCAGGTCCACTGACATTTATGCCATCTGCTCGAACAATGCACATAACTTACCTTAACTCTAAAATAAGTTAATCCACTTCACCAGCTGATTACTCATCAACAGCGATGCTACCGTAAAAACAGAAGTTCAAAGGCAAAATTCTAAAGATGGCTGCTACACACTTGTTTTATCTGACGCATGAGGTCTATAGGCTACAACAGTTAGTCTATAACTCCAAACAAAGTCACAGCTCATACATAGTCCAACAGCATTGAAACTATTCCGTTGATTTTGTCACTCCGCTTGCCTGTTGGCTTGTTTCAGACAGACCATCAGCCTGTATTTGTGGTGGGGATTTAAAAAATTACATCATAGGTGTAACAGTAGGTGGCGACAAGTCACTCTTTTTATGGGTGAGTAATATAATCATTGACTCAATTGATTCGTTCATAGACTACACACTGGTGGACACCTCCGTGGCGTGCTCCGCAGTTGTTTTTATGTTTTTGTTAGTTTGTCCTGTCTTTAGTTATATCCCTGCAATTAGGGAACTTACAGGGTTAGTTCACCCAAAAATTAAAATTGGCTTGTGTTTTACTCCTCCTCGAAGCATTCTAGGTGTATATGACTTTCTTCTTTCAGACGAATCCAGTCGGAGTTATATTAAAAATTGTCCTTGCTATTCCAAGCTCTATCCTTGCAGTCAGCGAGTGTTGCAGTTGAACAGTCCACAAGTCGTCAAATAAAGCACGTGCATTTTTAATAAAACGTGCTTCACACGGCTCCGGGGGGTGAATAAAGGCCTTCTGTAGTGAATCCATGCATTTTTGTAAGAAAAATATCCATATTTCAAATGTAATAAAAACTTTTTTCTCACTTCCATTATCTGTCATACACGGAAGGCGTTCCGGCGGATGACGCGGCACGTATGCGCAGCGCGTGCACCTCTGAGATATGCTAGTCTCGCGAGTTTGTTTATAGGAGCAAAGGAAGCAAAGTTTCCTTACTTTAGCAAAGGAAAACCAGTCTCGGCTTATAATGAAATCCTCCGACATTTTTCTTTTGCAAATCTTCAGTTTGTACTTCTAATTCGTGACAGGCGTTTTGTTTTGTTGTCTCTCCGTTCGTCACTAATCACGCAACGCCGACGTCCTGCGTCATCCGCCGGAACTGCTTCAGTGTATGACAGTTGGCGCTTGAAATATGGATATTTTCTTACAAAAATGCATGGATTCACTACAGAGGGCATTTATTCACTCCCTCACCCCCCCCCCCCCCATCAGCTTGGAATAGCCAGGACAATTTTTAATATAACTCCGACTGGATTCGTCTGAAAGAAGAAAGTAATATACACCTAGGATGCTTCGAGGGTAAGTAAAACACAAGCCAATTTAAATTTTTGGGTGAACTAACCCTTTAAGTCTGTTGTTCATGAGACGGTTTGTTCAGCTGTGACTTTGTTTGGAGTTATGTTCTTGTAAATTACTCAATATTAACTTTTTGTTTTCTGCATTTATTCCATTTCGATTCCAAGAGTAGTGTGGCACTCATAATAGCATGTTAGTCTGAATGTCAGTACAGATTTGGTACACGTGCCTCATGCCCGCAGCCAAGCTATTTAAGGAACAATGAAACTCTTGCCAAAAACTCTTGCTTGTGTGATATTGCTTAATAGAGCATTTAACCAAAAATAACCCTTGCTATATTTAAATTTGTGTACTACTAGAAAATGGCAAAAAACGGTTTAAACAACATCTTAAATGAAGTAATTTAAAAACAAAATTGCACATACTTGAGTTTGACCTTCTTCATTTGACAAAAAAGTTTAATTACTCTTTTTCTCACTGATATATTGTTGAAAAGTGTAACAGTACACTTAAACCATATTTCAAAGACAATATAATTTTGCACTTACATATAAAAATGTACTTAAATCCCACTTAAGTGAAACAAAACACTATACTATGTTCAACTTTTTGCATTTATTATAAATTTAAAGTAGAATATGTTATTATTAATAATTTAATTTAATATAATTTAAAGTATCCTTTATTATACTGTAATGAGTACTCTTTTTTTAAGTATGCTAAAGTGTATTTTTTTTACAAGCATGATTGCACATTTAAACTGGTG